TAACTAAGAGCAATACATTGGTCATAGTCTTTGGAGAGAAAGCAAAGTGCAGGCACTGGCCTGTTTAGGCAGTTGGGCTTTCTGGGGATATCCCAGTGTAAATCAGGGAGCTGTGCAGCCTTAAAATCCCCATTCAAAGGGGGGTGAGATGCAGGTCTCTGCCTAGGGTAGGTGATGGCTGGGAGCTGGGAGCCGGTAGCCTAAAGTGGATGTCTTTGGTTGATCATGGAGGGGGAATACAGATGCAGTTTCCCTGAAACTATGACAAACATCTTGCAGCATAACAATACCCCTGTTCCTCTTCCCAATAGGGTTTAACATGTTTACACCCTGAATGACAAAAAGGAAATAATTGCTTTCTCTACTGGAAGCAATGGGGTAGATACTCAGCCAGCACAGGCAGCCAGAGGGAGAAGAGAGAAAAGTCTTCTTTCCTTCCTCCTTCCTAACATCCTGCTTCTCAAAGTCTGCTCCGGGTGGGGAAAAGAGAACACCAGTCATCCACATCTGACCTCTCCCTTACAGTCTGGGGGGAAAGAAAGGTACTTTGTGAAGGGGTTGGGGAAGGAGAGATGCACAGAGCTTCTAGCATGGTGTGGAAAATGGGGGACCCTGGGGAGTGGAGGGGCACACAGAATCCTTGGTGGTAGGGAATTGAGATGCATTGGCATGGGGTGAAGGGAGTCGCACACAACTTCTGGCATTGGAAGGAATAGGGGGAAATGGGAATGAAGCTGCACACAAAGCTCCTGGCATGGTATGGGAGATGGGACAAATGAGGACACCTGCAACTCTTAGTAGGAAGGAGGTTGTGGGGAGTTACAAGGAGTCCCTAAAAAAGAGGGGGTGGAAGCGTGGCCAGCCAGGAAGCTTGTTGGTAGGACTGGAAGGATGCAAGGAGTCCTGGTGTGTGCAATCAGGTGGGCGGAAAGAAGCAACAGCCCATTAGTTCCTAGTGAGCACTAACCCCAAACAATCCTCCAAAATATATAGTTGATGCTCTTGAACTGAACAGATCCTGTCTTCTCTAGCTGTCTTGGTATTTAGAATGCATCCATTATAATGGTATCCAGGTGTAACCAAAATTATAAGAAACATTTTTATTCATATGTATATCAGGACCATATTCTCCTTTTTTGCCTAGTGAAGCAGTGACTAAGGTGTGTATGGTAAAAATGTTTTTTAATTTTTATTTACGGTAATATAACTTGCAATCTTTAGGGAGATTATTGTTCAAAGGCTAATAAAAAGAGATGAGTCTTATTAAAGTCATTGGGGTTTTTTTGTTTGATTTTTTTTTTAACTTGCCATTGGATTCATTAGTTTGTCTCCAGGCATGACATATAACATAGGATTTGGGTATAGCAGTTGTGCATATTTGTAGGGTTCTGGTTGTGTGCATTTGCTAATTGTTTTTGGTTGCATGTCTCTGCCTTTATGACATGTGTGATAACAATTAATGGTTTATCTGTTGGATTTACTCATGCTTACATTACACAATGACATTTTTATATCTTGTTTTCAGGTTTTGTTGAAATTAATTAGCTTATTAATTTTCATTATTTTGAATTAGCTTATTTTTAAATTGGGGAAATGAGTTATGCAAAGATTTTGAATGATGGGCACACCTGTATCCTTCTGCATGAGACTAGCATAAACTGAAATAACGTTACCTGAAGCAATAGCACTTCTTCTTTAAGAATGTGCAATTACAGATAACACAGACACACAGATTTCAGGACCAAAAAGAGCCTGAGGTACAAAGATTATGCTCAGGTACAAAAAATACAAGAGTATTATTAGACTTAGGATCAAGCAGACTAATTTCTTCTCAAGTCGTTATCGTCTTTTTTTTTATTATTATTATTATTTTGATAACTTCTTGGCTCTGGTTGGCTCAGTGCATATCTCACTGAGACGGGAGACCTTCCTGAATGAGAATTTTTTTCCCTTCACTTTTTTGTCATAACTAATCCTATTTGTGCAGCTAATGCATAGAGATTATAAAAAGGAATATTTCAAGAGTATAGTAGGTTGTTAAATAATTTAAGCAGTAACTGGTATTTGTCAAGCAATGTTTACTTTGGATTAATACCCCTGCAGCAAAATAACACTGGATGTCAGGTTCAGCATTAATTAAAAGATAATTAGTAGTGATGAGTGCATTTCAAAAGATTCCGATAAGCATCAGAAAGTCTAGATGTTCGTGCAAAGTTTATCCAAATTGCCCTGAAATTGAGGCTTACCTGAGCTATCTCCCTGACCAATGCTTTCCTTAGGGTAATACCCTCTAGGAAGAAGCTGGATTCCCATTTCTGGGCAATATTTGGTACCTTTTCTTTATAGAAGGCCATCCTGACTTCCTTGTCTGCTACTAGAAGCAGTTGGATTGGCAGGAGTCAACTGTTCTGGCATCCTGCTTCCTGAATCCTTCTGAAATTGAACTAAAATCTCCAGAATTCTTAGGCAATATAGAATGCCAGAATGCCATGTTTTTTAGGCAATATAGACCAGATTTTTTTTTTCATTTTCTGCCTCTTATGCACAGGTAGAAATGCCAAAATATTATTTTTATATTATGTGCCAGCAATGCCCCTCTGCCATGTACATTGGCCAAACTGGACAGTCTCTACGCAAAAGAATAAATGGACACAAATTTGACATCAGGAATTATAACATTCAAAAACCAGTAGGAGAACACTTCAATCTGCCTGGTCACTTAAAAGGGGCAATTCTTCAACAAAAAAACTTGAAAAGCAGACTCCAATGAGAAACTGCAGAACTGGAATTAATTTGCAAACTGGACACTATCAAATTAGGCTTGAATAAAGACTCGGAGTGGATGGGTCATTACAAAAACTAATTTTCCCATACTAATTTCCCCCTAGTGTTACTCACACCTTCTTGTCAACTGTTTGAAATGGGCCACCCTCATTACCACTACAAAAGTGATTTTTCCTCCCTTGGTATCCTGCTGTTAATTGAATTGTCTCGTTAGCACTGACCTCCCACCTTGGTAAGGCAACTCCCATCCTTTCATGTACTGTGTATATATACCTGCTACTGTATTTTCCACTCCATGCATCTGACGAAGTGGGTTTTAGCCCACGAAATCTTATGCCCAAATAAATTTGTTAGTCTCTAAGGTGCCACAAGGACTCCTCGCTGTTTTTGCTGATACAGACTAACACGGCTACCACTCTGAAAATACCATTAGAATCTATTCTCAGGACACTTATATAATCAGGAATAGAATGTATTGGAAACTGCACAAGGAGGACTGCTCTCATTAAATTTCTGTCCTACGTTTTTCAGTGTACCACTACATAGTTGCGTTTAGCTGGGGGAAGTGGGAACTGAAGTCACAACAAGCAGGATGAGTTTGAAACTGTCAGTGTTGTCCTCTCAAAATAATAGGCCATATGATACATTATACCTCCTAATCCCTGCCTGAATTAAATGATAAATTCATTAACAAAATGTCCTCATCCACTTTTCTAACATGGACCTCAAACCCTTAACCAAACTGTAAATTTAGTAAATATATTAAAAAGTGGAGCTCTTGAGAGATCTCCATCACCATTACCGAAGAGCCACCTCTTTTTTCAACAAAACCACTTATCTCTCCATATACAAAATCACCCAAACAACTTCACAGCTGCCATTCCACTATTAATGAATGAGCATAGTCTATGGCATCCATGCTCCAAAGTTCAATGTATGTTGATTAAGGTACCCCATATGTTTGTATCTTGCATAATGACTTGCATATTACACCACGAATTAGGTGAATGAGAATATGGAATCAGAATAATGACTGATTATGGAACTCCTAACAACTTCAAATTTCCAGGCTTTAAAGCAATTGTTATAACTGCTACCTCCTAATGTTGATTTAATTTAATTGTCATTTTTTGTAAACTTATTCATACCTGTGTGTATATAAGAATATTATAATGGGTACTTGTGATTTCCTCTCTCTCTATTGCCTGCCTTACAGAAAGACAGTGTGTCATATGTCAGATACCTCTTCAGGGTCTTGGAACAACTTGTTCCGAGTGCTGAGCAGTGTAAAAAACTTGTGTTCTCCGGGCTCATTTGCTGAATATCTATGAGAGGCTGAAAGCCACAAAGGGCATATATTGGTCAAAACTGTAGAGTTAAAGGGACTGGGTGAGAGTTACTTTCATATTTTGTGTGTGTGACAAGACAGAAATAAGTCTTACGGGCAGATGAACATTAATAATAGCCAGATGTCAATTTAGAAGGGACCTGGGTTATTGCACAATCTATAACTGCTTCATTCTCTCGAAAGTCATTCGGGAAATAAAAAACACTCCAGTACAAAGTCACTTTTAGACTCCATGAGCATCTCTTTTCCTCTCTGCCATTAACTCAGTCTTTGACCTTGAGCAAATCACCTCTGTGTACTCTGTCATTCTCCCTTTGATGTCAATCGGAGGGCCCCAGTTTTACTTTGGCATGGGTGCGTGGGTCAGGCCCTTAAAATCTCCCGGCCTCATTTACCCCATCTGTAAAATGGGGGATAAACAATACTTTTCTGTCTTTTGAAAAGCACTTTGAGACAGATGGAGGAAAAGTGCTATACAAATACAGTGTATCATTACAGCTAGAGAACTTTTAACAGCTGTAGTTAAGGTCACTGAAGTGTTTCTATTTTTCCAATCAGAAATTGAAAATTATTCTTGCTTACTGGTTCGTGTTGCTGGTTTCTCCAGTGCTGTAGCTGCTCCCTCCCACCCCCCCAGCTTCTTTGCTTGTGCATTAGCCTCTTAGATCATTTACCTCAGCAGGAATGTTCACAGGTCTAGCAAACTGCTTCATTTTTTTTGTTTGTTTGTTTCTTCTTTGCATAGGGGCCTAATATGTTGTGAAGGTATATTTTCCAGCCTGGCTATCTTTCACTAAAAGCATCACCACTTTAAAAAAACTGACTGTGAGTGAGATTTCTAATGTGATCTCCCTGTTTTTCTTTGTAGTAAGTAAGACAGACCTGGGAGACTTGGCAATGAGCTGTTTTCTTTCCTGCTTTTATCAATGGAGTCTGAATCTTACAAGGTAAATGTTCCATTTTAACTGACTGAACTTTAAAATTCTGTCTCAGATTATATGATTATAGTATTTTCAAGGCATTGAAGTAGAAGGAAATCTTCATTGTGTTTAAATGCATCTATGGTTTCATCTTCCCTCTGTATATAGAGCCCTTCTTAATTCCTGTTAAGGTATATGATTATTTTCATGCACTGTATTAAATACACAGGATGTTTATGAAGAGTGTAGGTGAGATTTTTCAAAAGCACTGTATGGGCTTAATTCAATTCCCTTTAAAGTCCATGGGAGCTTAACCATTGACTTCAATGGGGGCAGAGTTAGACCAACAATTGGAGTTTTTGAAAATCATGTCTTTTATGCACGTAGAGAAAACAAATTGATTTCAAATGCATTTAATTACATGTGGAATTACAGTTTACGTTTGTTGGGCCTTTTCATTCTTAGGCAGGCTGTTTGCTACTCTCTGTCTGTCTTATTCTGTTCAAACATCTCAAATTCCTTATTGTTGGGTAAGTTGTAAAACTAAGCTGCTGAGTTCCTGTCTTTAATTATAATTTTACATAGTGAAGTGAAAAATTATTCATGCCAAAAGCTAAATGTTTTTTTAAAAAAATCCAAATCTAATTCTGGTGGTATTTGTGGTTAGTTTTTTGTTTTTGTTTTCCCCTTATGATGAAAAACAATTTTGATGGCAAAACCAGCTCAGTATCTCCCAAACCTCCCTCCTCACCTTAAGGGAAAATCTGAGCAACAAGGTCTAAAGTAACATCTATTCTGTTTCTTTTCTTGGAGTCTTTGCACCACACAATGTCCTCCCTTGATATACTATTTTCAGGTTCCATTAGTTTTCTTTAGACAGTGACATTAATTCCCCAGCTTCCTGCCAGAGAATCTTCTCATGGTGAGAAGAGGTTTTTAAAACCTTTTATTATGCATTTAAAAAGCTGAATAGGAGGCTGTGCAAGGGTAGCTCTTGATTCACATTTTTAAACTCAATGTTGAGCTGGAGAATCTCTCCCTCCTGACTTGAAGGCTGCTGTGAGCAATATCCTAAAAGGTAAAATAGGCCTGTTTGAAAAACCGAATCAGCAGCCTCCCTTGGCTCCCAGGATGGGAGAGTGAGTATCCAGCTCCTCTGCATTTACTTAATAAGCTGAATCCCAAGACTGTACAATTTAACATATTGCAGTTCTCTAATAGAAAGAGGAAAAGGTGACTCATCCTCCGCCTTGAGTGAAGTGCCACAAGGAGATGTGGGTGGTGATTCTAAATGGAAAAAAGGTGCAGCATTTCTCTTACAGTGGAGGCTGATGATTCCACTGTTTAATGTAAACACTGAAGTCAGAGCTTGACTCTTACTGCTGCTGTTTCACCTCGTAGAACCTGTAAATACTAGACAACGTTTGGGAAAGTTCAGATGTGGAGGTTCTTCGTGTGTGGCTAGACACTGGTTCAGGGAGCTGAAAAGGTGTGTGGTGTCCCTGTGCCATGCAGCCAGAAGGGGCTAGTGCCCCGCTTCCCAGGAAATATTTAAGTTGGATTGTGATGTTAAAACCTCCTCTGCCATCCTGTTGTTAGAAGGCTTGTGTTCAGGAGAATGAAGAAGGAGAGATGAGGTAGGAAAGTAATTGTCAGTTGATATTTGAAGTCCTGTTTCAGCAAAACAGATAAGCACTCAACTTTAAGCATGTCTTTAAGTCCCATTTGACTCAATGAGATTTCAGCATGTGCTTAAATTTTTGCTCCATAAGGATACATGTCTTCACTGGGGCAAGAAGAATTACTGTGAAGATGATGGGTAAAGTTTTCCAAAGTACCTAAGTGATTTTCTATCCACAACTCATGTTTGCTTAAATTTCTATGAATAAAGCATATTTCTGCCTACAGGAAACAGAACCCCCTCTCCCCGAAGAAAGGCTATTAAATGAATCAATACTATTTTAAATTGGGAATGATGAGGAGCAGGCCAGAAACAAGAAAATAAAGCATGCAAATATTTTTGTTTTTATTTAAAAAGATATACAGTATTAGACCATTAAATTGGCTAAAAAGAATAGACTATCCTTTGACTTGAAACACTTGAATTTGGAGCTTCCATTAGCTTCTGGGTGTCATATATGGGGCTGTGTATCCAAAGCCAGTATATGGCACTATGCAATTTTAATGAAAAAAATGTTGGTGGTCCATTTTGAGTGGTCAGTAGGGAATTATCAAGGGACATGCATTAACATGTCTTATGATAAAGATATTCTGATCTTCTGCCACGTCTCTGAATCTTCCATTCTGGTTGATAAAGTGTTGCAATTTGATAATCACACAGTTTTTAACCAGTAATTTGGGGCTATTAAGAGATTAAATTATCTCCTTTTCTTCTTTTCCTTGAAAGACGCCCTAACATCCTCTTGAACAGTTATTTTTTATTAACAGGTTTGGATTATCTTAAACTAAACATCTCTTCCTGCTGTGAAAGTGAGGTGCATAAGCTATCACATTTGTGGAGCTGTATAAAAATAATTACCTGATCTTCTAAAAGTTATCTCTAGGTTAAAATTAGATTCACAGAAGAAATACATAGGAGAGGTTTTTAATGTCTCTTTTGACAAGACCATGATATCAACTTTGTTAACAAAGAAAATGTCCCATTCTGTTCTTGGGTATCAGAGCACATACCAATGTTTTTATCTTGAACTTCACTAAGGGCTCATCTCTTATGCTAAATAGAGCCTTACTCCATAAATAGTCCCACTGAAACCAATGAGACCTCTTGAGGAATAAGGTATTTATCAACGTGAGCATCAGTAACAGTCGGACCCAATATGTTTATACAGGATCACCAGTGAGGCTCATCAGCCAATCTGTGAGCAGATTCAAACCCCAAGCAATAAGCATTCAGTACTTTACAAAGTGAACAGCGCTTCTGTCATAGAACTCACTGAACACCAACACCAGAAAAGTATTCACTATCATGCACCTGTACTTCTACCGTTTGACACATTTTATGAGGTCTAGCCCTGGATATACTATTATTTCTTGTTTGCCACTTTCGTTATTTGGGATTGGTGACTTTTATAGCCTTCCTCTGAAACTCATGATCATTCACCAGGCTCTGGTACAAACTGTTCTCGCTAAGCTCTCCTGGAAGGCTGAGGAGTGCAAACTACAACTCCCAGCACACCTTGCAGCACACTGCTTGGCTGTGGCCAGAGCTGGATTAAACCTTTGTGGGCCTCCGAATACTTACTGTGGGCCCCTTTCAAGTGTGGGCCTGGTGCCACTGGTGCCATTGTAAACCCGGTACTGGCTGGAGCAGGAAAGAAGTTATTCTCCCCCAAAGAGTTGCATCCTGGAGTAATGCTTCTTGGATAAGCCAGCTTCACGTCATCTCCAATGTAGTATGTGTACCTATGAGGCCCAAGGTTAGGAAGGAAGGAGAAAGGAAGCCCAGCTCCACTTCGAGGGCTTGAATATTTCCTTTTCACTGATTCTACTCATTTCTAGAGCTGCATGAAATTTTGGGGTTTCATTCTGCATGGATTTTGATAAACATTTAAAAGCAAATAAAAAATAATTAGTGTGAACTCACATCTCCTTGACCCTGACGTTTGTTTTGAACATCAAATAGTAGAACAAATTTCATTAAAAAAATAACTTGGTCATTTCCGGCTGCCCAAGATGCAAACCAGCATATCTAGATGAATCTTCTTCCAAGCCATTGATTAGCCCACTGTGTTGTTTGGAGGTGGGCCCAGGTTTACATGAAAAATTCATATCTCTAAGCAAATATCACTCTTAACTTTGTCCTGAGTTTTGAGTTAGAGGAGAAACTAGAATACAGGAGAGCTTTTTGTATAGTTCCTGTTTTGGTGCAAATACCTTGCTCAGTTCTACTCATTTTCCCCTATCCTCCTTCTGCTTTTCCTGGGGAATTGTTCTCTAGTGGGTTTTTTTTTGCCTGCCCCCTCATATTTCCTGCCAGAAGATTAACAAAGGAAATAAAGAATGGGGATGAATTTTGGAGATAAGTCACTGTTCTCACTGGCATAACAGCAGAACACATGGAATGAGGGAGGTCATTTTTCAGCTCTCTTTAGCAGGTTTCATGTAACGTTTTCTGTTAGTTTCTTGACAGTGCCAGTGTAAGCCCCTGACTCCATGAAGACATCTTTGTAGCAATGAGTGGTGGTAAATCATGTGAGGACCAGGATAGCATTTATTCCTGCTAATATTTCAGTGCTGTAAGGCAAAAAAATGAGTCTTTGCCCAAGTGTACTAGCAATATAAAGATCTAATCCTGCAAACCCTTGGTCACATGAATAGTCCTCACACACGCGAACAGATATTAAAGGAACTATTCACATGAGCAAAGGTTCGCAGGATTGGGTCCTTAAGGAGATAGCACAAAAGCATACTAGGAGAATAGTTTTGAATGAGTACAGCTGATGTTGTCATATATTAGGTGGTCTGTACTGTGGCACTA